ACCCATAGATGTATTAAGTGTAAAACATAAACTACATTCATACACACTTGCATACACATAACAGATAAGTCATAACACAGTGATGCACCATTATAAATGTGCAATTATAATTACTAAATAATCATATCATATGACATTAAATAAATTGGTAGGTACATAATATATTATTTACAGTCATACAATATAACAGCAAAATATTATGATAGTAGACCTACTCAGTAAGATAAATGCCAAAAAATACAAACTATATGCATTGTATAGTGTATACATTTATACATACCTACGTTTAATAGGACAGTATTTTTCGGGTCAATCAAATTTGCTATTCATCAATAAAATTATCTATTTATTAATTTGATTTAATTCTCATAATTAAATAAATATACAAGGTAGAAACAACTATATATTATGTAAGTAATATCAAATAGTATAGAAAATATTATACAAATATTAAATAACTTTACTACCTACAAACTTTACTTAAATATATAAAGATCTTTTTATTTATTAATATAATAATATATATTATATAGAAACTGTAGCAGTATTTGTATGCTTCATACAATTATTAAATTAACCAATCAACCAATCAACTCACCTGACAACTGTAATATTATATTGATATGTATGCATTTATTAGTTTATAACAGGGACTGGAACCGTACCGAAGTTGACCGGTATTGTACCGAAACCTTTTGAAAATCTTAGGACCGAAACAATTAAATACATTGTTTTAAGAAAAGAAACCGAAACCTATATTTTGATGTAGAGGTTTTTTCGGTTTTTTTTTGTTAAAATCCAATAGATATTTCATCTGTGGTGTAAGTAGGTAATAACTAATTGTTAGTAATAATAAATAATTATAAAATCGTAGACCTAAATTTTGAAGTAATGACGTCGATGAAGGTGACTCGGTAGTCGGATTGCTTACGAAATGTTTTGAATTTTTTTTCACATAATTTATTCATAACTTAATTTTGCGTTGTCGGTGACTGTAATGGACGCTGTCCCGGTCGCACGTTGCCTACCTGGATAACATAGATGACTGACCTTCTAGACAACAATAAATTCAGACGGTGGCTATATGATTTGCATGGACAACCGAAATATTTTGAATTTTCTTCACTTAATTTATTCTTTCTTTAATTTTGCGTTTTCGGTAACACCAATGAACGGTGTCCGCGGTTCGACAAAGTCGGATTGCATACGTGATTACGTGACCCGCGGCCGTCACACATTGTCTGCTATCCTGCTAAGTCTCATAGCCTACCTGTATTTTTTTCAAAATTCGAGTTTTACCGCCTTTACGCGCTTCGTTGGGATTTCGCCTGTTATTCCCGTAATAGATATATATTTTACTTTTTATTATATATTTTAATGTCTTATACTCTTATTATATTTATTAATATATATTTTCATAATGATGTGTAGGTACTGCGTTATGATTCGTGTCCTATGTGCACACATATTATATTATAGGTATTGTGTTATTGTGTAGGTATGTGTTTATGCATGCGTTTGTAGGTACATACTACATACGGTCATAAATACATGCGTCGTCGGAAGGTTCGACGGCGGTAGGATAGGAAAAACATGAAAACGGTTCCACGCACCGACGTGATGTTAGACCCGCGGTTACCAATATTACGACAACGGTTTGAAATCTATGGCGGAGTGGTGCAGCGGGGGGACAACTTTGTCGTCGCGAAACGCGCCCGTTTCGACCTGCCTGCATCTCGTGACCGGCGCTCTTGCAACGCACATCAACTCTCACGGAAAAGCCCAACACTTTGTATTATTTATTTACTTTGTGCTTTTCTTTGAGCTCTGTTGTCTTGCATTGGGCGCTTTTCACACACCGGTGAGTACAACTTTTATAATATCTACTACTATATAATATTCAGATAAACAACGGGTTCGCGAACGAACGTGTTTGCACCACCTAGAGACATCGTTGTGATGGCGCGCTTCGTGTTTCATTTTTTTTTTATTAAAATGTACTTTGAACAGTGGCGTATTTACGGGGGGGGATATGGGGGTCATATCCCCCCCCCCGGAAGCTTATTTTATTTCATTTCTTTTAAAACCATGATTAAAACGATATTTTGAATATTTTGATAGTTGTATGAACATTGAACAACTAATGAACTAACTTAACCTATGAATGAAAATAATTCAAAATATATTTTAAACAATAAACATAGATATCAATGATTTTAAAACATTTCCTACTTTGCCGATTTCGATGATAAGAAAGAGGCGGCTATCTAGTAGTTGTTGAATATAATATTGTTACCACGGTCTTAGATTGTTACTAATTACTATTGTTCAGTGATATACTGATATTTTCTTATCTTAAGATAAATTCAGAGCTGATAATAGACGAGAAACGCTTATCAATATAAAACTGAATTAATTTTACTGTTTGAATTTTGAAAGTGTTAAAGTGAAAATACTGAAAATTACTAGTTAATCTTGATTCTTGAATATAATATAACGTACCTATATTTAAATCTATAGTAAATTGTCATCATGGACACGATTAATACAGGTAAAAAACAATCTATTTTAAACTATTTTAAAAGAAAAGCATCTACTTCACCTAGTCAAAATAGTGAATCTGGTAAGACAAATAAAGTTCTTGTCACCTCCTGCCCTGTTACTAATAATGAAAATCTGGATGAAAAAAATAAGGATTGTGATGTAAGTTTATTGTGTTATATTTATTTTATTTTTTAAGTGATAAAACTATAGTAATTGTACATTTGTACAGCTTACTGTTTATAAGTTATAATATACATCAAAATATGTTAAATATTATTTTTATTTTGAAGATTGAAACCAATTGCACGATAAATTCTAATATTCAGCTGCTTCCGCAAATTAATGATATTGCTTTATTTATTAATCGTAGCTTAAATGACGAAGAAAAGCTATTAGTAAGTTACTAGCCATAAAATATATTTCAATTTTTATTAATAATGACAATTAGTGTAAAATGTATCATTAAATGACACACACACACACACACACACACACACACACACACACACACTTGCTTGCTTGTAGCTATATTATATAATTAGTAACTACATACCTACCTAACTAGGACTATGAAATATTAAACCCCTTATTAAACTGCATGTTTATAATTGCACACATTTATTTATAGGTGCTTAGGAATGTTTGGAAACCGCCAAAAATGTATAAATATCCTTTATTGGAACAAAACAAAAAAAGAGGGCTTATATTTCAATCCAAATGGTTTGACGAATTTTCTTGGCTTGTATATTCTGAAATAAAAAAGGGAGCTTTTTGTAAATTTTGTGCTATATTTTCAAAAACTGGTGGAGCTCTAAATCAGCCACTTGGGCAGCTTGTATTAGTAGAATATACCAATTGGAAAAAAGCTAAAAAGGTGGTTGTTAAATCTTATAGTTTTATCAAAAGTAAGTATGTTGAAATACCATTTAAAATTGTACTTTAATGTTTTTCAGGTGTTTCAAAATCATTGTAAGTTGGAATACCATATAAATGCCACATTAGATGCTGAGCATTTTATAAATGTATTAGAAAAAAAAGAGAAATCCATTATTGAACAGCTAGATTCTGACAGGTTTTTATTATACTGGCAGTTATTGAAACTTATGAGGTTTCAACTATAATGTTGTTTTATTGTTATTATTTTTAGAATAGTTCAAGTAAAAAAAAATAGAAAACGTTTGGTACCTATCATTGAATGTATCCTCCTGTGTGGTAGACAAGAGTTAGCTTTGAGAGGTCACCGAGGAGAGAAAAGAAATATATTAATTGATGAAAATGCTATTCAAAATGCTGGCAATTTCCGTGCTATTTTGCAATTCAGAGCCAAAGGGGATATATTTTTACAAAATGTCTTAGAAGGGACAGATACAAGTATAAAATATCTTAGCCCTGGTATTCAAAATCAATTAATAAACATATGCAATGATATTATTTTAAAAAAAATTGTAACCAAAGTTAATGAAGCCCAGTGCTTTTCTGTACTTGCTGATGAAACTACAGATATCTCTACATCCGAACAGCTGACTTTATGTGTCCGATACATTGATTCTGAAGGAAACTTAAATGAAGACTTTTTGAAATTTATTATTGTAGAGAGTTTAACTGGTAGTGATCTGTCCGCAGCAATATTGAATGGTAAAAGCATTAAATAATTATTTGCATTTTTTTGTTTTTAATATCAATTGTTAACAACTATTATAATATGCATTTTTAATTTTTATCAGGTTTAGTTGAATGCGGCCTAGACTGTGCGTTCTTAATCGGGCAAGGCTACGATGGTGCCAGTAACATGAGTGGAAAGGTTCAAGGAGTCAAGTCTTATATTCAAACTAAATATCCGAAAGCTATTTACGTACACTGTGCTGCACATTCCCTAAATCTTGCAGTCTCAACAGCAAGTGACTTAAAGCCGATAAGAAACTGTTTAGGGATAATTGAAAAAGTGTATACATTTCTGAACACGCCTAAACGAAGTGCGGTCATGTTTCATGTCATTGACAATGAAAATGCAGATTTAAATATAAAAAAACTGAAAAGACTTTGCGCTACTCGATGGATACAGCGTTATGACGCTGTTAATGATTTTTGTGAATTACTGCCATATGTTATGATATCATTAGATAAAATATCAGAATGGAGAGATTCATCAGGTGCAGATGCTTCAATACTGAAAAAGGCTATTGATAGTGAATTTTTAATTTCATTATTTGTCATAAAAGTAATACTTTAATTTGTTTTTGTTTTTGTACTTTTCTAAAATTACTTTTTTTTGGATTTTTTATAGAAATTATTTTCATTTGGACTTCCACTATGCAGACAATTACAGTTAAAAAGAATTGACCTCAAGGATGCTGTGCAACTTGCAGAAGATACAATAACTTCTTTAAAAAATATTAGAGAAAATATAGAACAAGAATTTCAAATTATATATAACTCAGTGAAAGTAAATACTCAATTTAAAATTAAATCATACATTTAAAATAAACTCTTATTTTTTCCTCAGGAAATGGCAAACATTATTGATGTAGAAATAAAAGCAAAAAGAATTACAAATAAGCAGAAACACCGAGCTAATTACAAGACTGAAAATGATGAAAACATGGAGTTAGTTGATTTTTTCAGAATTTCAATATTTATACCATATATAGATAATTTTATTTCTCAATTAGAGTTAAGATTTGTGGATCATAAAAAAATTTTTGAAGGTAAGTTATGACGTTTAGTAGTTTATTGTTTTTTTTTTTTTTCATAACATTTGTTTCATGTAAACTAATGCTTCATTAATTTTGCAGGATTTGAATGTTTATTTTCTAATCAATCCTCTAAAGAAGAATTAGAATCATTCAACAATTTATTAGAGTTTTATACGCCTTTAATCGATTCCAATAATTCAACAGCAGAATTAATGCTGTGGAAAGTTAAACTCTCCAGGCTAAATATTGTTCCAAAAACAAGTCTCGAAGCATTTTTGCTGTGTGATGCAAAAATATTTCCAAACATTAATAAATTATTAAAAATTTTATGCACGTTACCCGTTTCGACAGCGACCCCCGAAAGAACTTTTTCAACACTTAAAAGAGTTAAAACTTATTTAAGGAATACTACGGGTCAAGTAAATTTTAAAATAAATTGTACACTTACTGTTGGTTATAATGTGCTAAAATTTGTTTTTAGAATCGACTTAATGGACTTTGTATGCTATCAGTTCACAAAAATATAAATGTCACACCTGATGAGGTACTCAATATACTTTCGTTGTCCTCAAGAAAATTGGACTTTGTTTTATAGTAAAAAAAACAAATTTTTTTTACACATTACAACATGTACCTATATGCCATATATTAATATGATTAAATGTGTATATACTAAATATGTCTTAAAATCTTTATATCCCCCCCCGTGAAAAATTCCTATATACGCTACTGACTTTGAATACCTATAACTTTTTTATAATTGCATTCGTATTAGCCGTGTATTATCCAGTCGCTGTAATCGACGTGTAAAAGTCCGTTGGCCGTTTCGGCGAGTTGTCATTGCGATACGCTCGACATTTTGCGTTATTTGGCTGGGTACCTATGTCATTTTTCGTATTTTTCTATTTTTTTTATGTACATCACGTAAGCCGCCGGTGTGTACCTATTAATTCTATAAATAACACACGTCTCATATATCACCGCTGATAACAAACCGATACCTACAGTCGTTATATTCGATTGCGACGATTTTTTTATGACGAGTTTTTCATATTTTGTATTCACTTTTTACTTATTATTACTATATTCTGTTCGTGATGCTTTTAGGCTATTCAAAATGGTCAAGCGATGCGCGCATTGCGGAGTTGTAGAGAACACCATCGACGTTTCCGTACACAAGTAATTCGCCCAACACGTACCAATACCTACTTATCATTATATAATTATAATAAATTATATGTCGCCCTAGATTTCCAAGTGTCGCACAACGTCGTCTAACCTAACCTTCGTGGTGGACCAAGGATTTCCACACGTCTCTGCTGTGTTCAAGGCATTTCGTTCCCGGTGTCGACTACGCTGTGGGAAACGCGTGGCGCCGCCGTCTGCGGCCCGCAGCAGTGCCGTCTTTGGTGAGTGTATAAATTATATATTCAATAAATATGTACACCATGACTCTATACCCGTCTGGCTGGACTACTTCGGTAATAATTACACTTTGTCACTAATACTGTTGTTGTACTCTCGTGAGTTTATAATGTACCTACTGTGTATGTTAGCACCCTCACTTAATTGAATAACTTAACTCAATGACATTCAACGTTTTTGTTGCAACATAATACATATTTTAGACTCACAAAAGGTACTGTTTAATACACGATATCAAGTGAATGACATATTATAACAAAAGTCATGATACTGCAGTGGTGTACAACATTTACAATATGGGAATTACTTAATACAGTGTTTTTTTTTTTTTTTTTTGGATAGTGTTGCCCACTTTTTAGTTATCATTCGACAAAAATTTCTGCAGTGCTAATTTAATGTCATTTGTTTACGTTCATTCCATAGTATGTAATTATCAAAGAGTAGTGTCTAACCTACGGTTTAAACTCCTTACATGCTTAATTCACTGTGTTCTCAGATACATATTATATACATTGTTTCTATACCTATTTATACTATACTAGGTATACTGGCATATTATAATTGTATAGAAATTTAATTGTAGAATGACTTGAACGACATTCAATTGCGGTACTGCTGTTTCAGATTTCAATTGCATATCAAACAAGCCTATTTTAATATCTAGATTAACTTATAACTATAACTATACTATCAACTTTTACTATGGGTATATTGACCTAAACAGAACACTTAACGTTTTCTTACACAGTTCTTAATATTACTACTACTACTACTACTACTACTTACTTAGTACTTAGGTCTACTCTCCTTTATTTGTAAGTAGCAATGATATAATGCCATTTGTTTACGTTTATTTCATAGTATGTAATTATCAAAGAGTAGTGTCTAACCTACGGTTAAAATTTGTTACAGGCTTCATTATTCACTGTGCTCTTACATACATATTATATACATTGCTTCTGTACATAACTCTTTGTGAATTGTGTACTGGATAAGTATTTTATCATTTCACATATTGTCTTATTGTTAGTAATTTATACAACTAACTTAAAAATTATTTAAATCACAACATGTATGCTTTGATTAGTGTTCGATTAGTTTATGTAACTGTTATAGAGTGCAATACATTTTTAAAATCTAAGTCACACATAAGCACATTAAACCTAACCAACACAAGATAATACTAATGATGTATGAACACACTACCATTGAAATGTCTTCTTTTTATTGTTGGAAGTTAGAATTCTGTATTAAATTACACTTTATTTGTATTAATTTTGTTAAAATGTATATCCACTCCTACGAAATAGACAGTGCAAGTCACAGTTAACTCTCTGTTGGGTATTTACAACCAATGAACAAAATAATACTACTACTACTTACTACTGACCTAGGTATACTCTCCTTTATTTGTAAGTTGTGTACTAGATAGGCATTTTATCATTTAACATGTGGTACTCTTAGAAATGTTTATATTATTTCAAAAGTCAATGCAATAGATTTGTTTACCTTTATTCCGTGTTAATATTCACTGTGATCTTGGATACACATTAGGTATATAAATTGTTTCTTTACATAACATAGGTTACTCTACTATACCTACTTATACTTTACTATACAGTACTGGCTCGGTACAACATTATTGAAAACTAAATGTCTATTTTATCATATGAATTCCGTTCAGCTTATTTAATTATAACTGTATAGAAAGCAAATTGTAGAATAACTCGACCGACATTCAATTGTGTTGCCGCTGTTTCAGATTTCTTTTACTATGAATATATATACCTAAACAGGATACTTTACTAAACTCTCCTTTTTTTGGTAAATTCTGTAGGTACTGGATAAGTGTTTTATCGTAGTGTTCATCGCTTTCTTTACTTTATTTATACAACTAACTTTATTTGTAACATATTATTTACTACTGATGTGTGTTATTTGATATAATAATTTCATATAAATGCACTTATTGCATATGAGTATATAACACACGAGCACATTAAACCTAACCAATACAAGATTATATTAAATATGTATGAACACACAACCATTCAAAGTTCAACTCACCGTATTTTAACTTTTATCACGAGTGTTTACAACCAATGAACAAAATACTTATACTATTTACTACTGACTCTGGTCTACTCTCCTTTAATTGTAAGTTAGACACGTTTATGATATTTAAATGCCTATATAATTTCATAGAAATGCACTTAACCATGCTATATTACCAAACAAGCCATAGATTACTTATGTTTACATCACTGATATTGTATACTTAACATTGTGTTTAAAGTAATAATATTTTACATTCTACTGTTGGTTTTTATTATACGTTGTTACTAATACGTTAGTGCAGCAGTTCCCTTTGAGTATGGATTTTGACGTTCAAATTATTATATATTTTATTATTTAGAATTATAAATACCTTAATATTGTACCTACTCCAAACTCGACCTAACTTTTAGGTACTTGGTGTTGACGCGGATGGAGAGGAGGACGTGGAAGGAGTGGTGGTCCAGTTGGATGTGGTGGAAGGAGTGGAGGTCCAGATAGAGGACGTGGGACGAGTGGAGGACGTGCATGGAGAGGAGGACATGAAAGTAGTCGACGGTCAGGTGGACTGGAATGGGGAAGTGGCAGAAGTCCAGATGGATGGGGTTGAGAACATGGAAGTGGTTGAGGACGTGGAGTACGTGGAAGTGGTAGAGGACATGGAGTACGTGGAAGTGGTAGAGGACGTGGAATTGGTGGAGTACGTGGAAGTGGTCGACGACGGGGTGGAGGACGACTTCCCGGAAGACGAGATTGAGTACGTGTTAGTGGTCGAACTACCCATAGGGCGTGCGCCAATCATTAACCGGCAGGCGGGCGTGACTCACCCGCTTCCAGAGCGGCACTACGTGTGCGCGTTGGACAGAGTCTGCAGACATTGTAACGCCCGCTACTTCATTGGCGAGGAAACAACCCGGGGTCATTTCTCCCTGTGTTGTAACAATAAAATGGTCGCTGCAGGACGACACGCGTTGTTGCCGGTACCCTATTTAATACAGAGTTTGTTTATAGATGATTCGCAGGAGGGTCGTAGATTCAGAGAAAACGTTCGGCGGTTAAACAACCTTCTGGCATTCGCTGCGTTCGCCTGCACCGCACACGACAGGCTTTTGCCAGGGCGGGGACCTCCGGTGTTTATTGTCCACGGTCAGACCTACCGGACGACCAACAATGAGGTGAACGTTGCCCCGGAAAATGCGTACAACTGTCAGTTGTATTTCTTGGAGTCCGCAGAGGCCAACCGCCGGCGCCTCGATATTGCACAACGCACAAATCACCCACTGTGCGAAATCGTGATTGCTCTATTGGACGGTTTGCTGCGGGACATCAACCCGTACGCAATAGCTCTTATGTAAGAAATCTTAAACTATTGTATTTATGAACACTAGGAATGTGAATTGCCCCTTAGAGTAAATACATTTTACACATATCTTTCTTACAGTAGATAAAAAAATAGAATTAATAATGATTTAAAATAATGTATACATAGCAAATACATAGGGTTCAGATGTTTATGACTTAACATATTTATGTAAATTTGAAGTAACTATCTTGGGGTAAATTTAATAATACATTTTATACACATTGAATGTGATTCTCTACGCTTATTACACCTACACACGGGCACACAAATATTTATAATATATCCGCTACCAATATAGAGTTAAATGGATTGAATGATCGGATATTTTTATTACACGTATAAAATTATTTCTAACGATATCACTGGACGATATTTACATACCTACCATTAGGTTACACACCTACATTATATTTTAGTTTGCTCCAAATACACCAATTACTATTGATCAATACATTTTAGGTAATTTGATTTGTTCTCAGCTCTACAATCAGCTCCCTTATATTTTGTACACATCACGGAGTGTGTTTAACATAAATATATAAATATATTCGTTTCAGGAACATGCGCCAGGTGTGGCTGGCAGAAAGAGCCCTAGCCGACCCCGCAGCTGTTCCCCCTAGACCGGTCAGAATGCATTTCATTGAAGATGCGGCCCGGGATAGGGGCCGGAACAACCTGCCTACCGCAGATGAAGTTGCGGCCGTGTTCGTGGGTGAAGGTGGTCGTCCTCCCAGACACATCGATCTGGTCAT